ATTTTGCATCTAGCTTGCTTCGGTCAACGGAACTAAGATGAACATAAGCAACACAACCAAATATGCGGAGATAGGAAAGATTGACCTCCTTACTCATCCACCTTTCTTCAGGTATGTCATTATCCAATGAGATCGTTGGACTTCTGTTGATGAGAAAAGCCGCGGTGTTCACTGCATCTGCCCAAAACATCTTCGGTAAGCCACTCTTCAACCTCATGCATATAGCCCGCTCATTCAATGTTCTGTTCATGGTTCAGCAATGCCATTATGCCGCAGAGTCTCTTTAGTTGTCTTCTCCATACGAACCCCATTCTCAGCATAAAACTTCTTGAACTCATGCAGTTTATACTCACCTCCATTGTCAGACCGAAGGCAATTCAATTTCAGACACGTCTCTGTCTCAACAAGAGCTTTCCACCTCCTGAAAGCATCAAAGGCATCAAATTTATTTTTGAGAAAGTAAACCCACACCTTTCTTGTGGCATCATCAATAAAGGTCATGTAGTGGGCGGATCCTCCGAAGGATGTAACTTCTGTAGGTCCCCAAAGGTCGGTGTGAACTAGTTCCAGCTTCTCCGGATGAATAGCTCGTCTACCCTTCGAGAAACTAACACGTTTCTGTTTCCTGAATATGCAGTCCTCGCATAAGCCAACCTCAACAGTCTTCAGGCCGGGAAATTTTCCCTTCGAGCACAGATCCTTCATCCCCTTTTCGCTCATGTGACCGAGACGACAGTGCCACAAATTCACATCGTTTGCTACAGCGGCAGCAACATCCTTCGAGTTTGTTGTCATGAACAACGTACCCTCCTTCTTTCCTTTAGCAACCAGCAAGGCTCTGTAACACTTGAGATTTAATATAAATGGATTAATAGTACTACTCATACCAACAGAGGTGCATCTTCTTTTAAGGGAGCTCATTACCCAAGAACTCCAAAGTTAAGCGTGCTTGCACGAGAGTAGTCTTGGGATGGGTGACCCCCTGAGAAGTTTCTCAGGGCGCGCATGAGTGAGGACAAAGTGCGCGGTAAAGGCTCGTGGTGGTTTGTGAGGACAGTACTATTGGTCCGGCGTAACTACCTCGGGTCCGGTGGGGCCGGGGTGTTACAGGTGGTATCAGTGAAACCCCGCGACAGTGTGATGATCCGTTGGATATCGGGCGGGCACTTAGCGGGGGAAGATTCTGGGATTTGATTTAGATTTGAGATTGGTTCAAGGGTGCAACAAGGACGTTGCGATCCTAAGTGGGGGTGATTGTAACACTTGAGATTTAATATAAATGGATTAATAGTACTACTCATACCAACAGAGGTGCATCTCCTTTTAAGGGAGCTCATTACCCAAGAACTCCAAAGTTAAGCGTGCTTGCACGAGAGTAGTCTTGGGATGGGTGATCCCCTGGGAAGTTTCTCAGGGCGTGCATGAGTGAGGACAAAGTGCGCAGTAAAGGCTCGTGGTGGTTTGTGAGGACAGTAATATTGGTCCGGAGTAACTACCTCGGGTCCGATGGGGCCGGGGTGTTACAGGCTCCCTTGGTGATCTTCCAATTTCTGCGGCCGAATGTAACTACATAGCCTTCTTTATCCAGCTGCCCAATTGAAAGAAGATTTCTCCTCAAACCAGGAATGTGTCGGACTCCATTCAGTTTTAGCATGCATCCGTTCGGAGTCTTCACGTGGACTATACCCTTTCCGACAATTTTAAGAGGCTCATCATCAACAAGATACACCTCTCCAAAATTGTCGGGAGTATACTGTTCCATCACTTCAGCATTACCACATGAATGGAACGAAGCTCCAGAATCCAGAATCCATGACTCCAACTGACTGCTCACGCTCAGGATCAGGAGATCATCGCCAGATGATTCTCCCGCTGTATTGGCAGATGTCTTCTCCTTCTGATCCTTGATCTGCTCCTTGCACCGGCTCTTGAAGTGTCCATACTCCTCGTAGTTCCAGCACTTGATCTGACTTCTGTCCTTCTTGCCCTTGCTGTTTGACTTGGATTTCGATCTTGATCTATCTCGATTTGATTTGGACTTCGTGTAACACCGTCCCCAAATATATTTACCTTTATGTAAATTATGTATTGAACATGGCTTATCTAGTAATGAATTTACGAGGTTGTGAATTTTGTTATTTCTTTTGCATGAGGAGTAAATTCCACGAGGGGCCCACACTCGGAGCGGGGGTAACCCGATAATCCGGGACCATATATTATATTTATCTTGGTCTAGATAATAGTTATATGGTGGTGGAAATTCATGTTGGGCCATAAGAAAAGTATTGGGTTGACTGGTTGGTCAAACAGAGCCCAATTACCAGTAATGACAATTTATCAGATAACACCCCGAAATGAATTTCGGAGAATTTTAAAGTATGTTAGGGAATCTTTATTCATTCTTAAGATCCATAATGATTGTGAACATGTAATATATCTTATTTGACCCGATAAAATAAAATATAGTTAAACCGGTCCGGGAAATACAACTTTCGGGGCCGAATGTACACGTCGGGACATAATGGGATGACCTCCTACATGAGCGGTGGCCACCCCACGTTTTTTTGATCCATTGAGACAAGGGAGGGCTGCTCATTGTCATAGGAAGATGGCTGGATGATTCAATTGGAATCAAATAAGTGTGGACCTCACTCCCACACTTATTTGCTAAGTAAGACAAGGAGGAAGGTCTCCTCACTCCCACACCCCTATCAACTTCGACCAGGACACCAAGGAGAGAGAGAGCTCTGAAAATCCCCATCTCCATAGCCAAGAGAGCTCAAGAAAGCAAGGAGCTCAAGGAAGAAGAAGAAGTTCAAAAGTAGAGAAAAACCTTGGGAATAAAGGTGAGAAGCTCCTTAACAACTTTCCTTACATCTTTTGATTTTCATATGACTTTTATATCATATGAAGTACCTTTAAGATTGTTCTACATGTTAAAAAGTGTGGAACAAGGGGTTGAAAGAAGTTTTAAGTCCAAGAACGGACTTAGAAGCCAAAGGGGCCGGTTCGCCGGAAAATAACCTTTTAGAGGTTATTTGTATTGATATGAATTTTGTGATGATAAAACCTTGTTAGGCCCTTGGCAAAGGTGGTTTAAGAACTTTCACGAAGTTGAAAGAGTCGCCGGAGTTGTCGCCGGAGTTCGTCAAAGTTCGCCGGAGTTTCATCGGAGTTCACCCAAGAGGGGTAGAACTTCATAACGCTCATTTCAGGTGAGTGGACGGCTTAATGTCTTATAACGCTTGGGTTAAGTATGGGATTACCTAAATAAATGTTATAAGTATTCATAATGACGTTTAAAAGAGTTTAAGCATGTGATTAGCCAAGGTGATTAGGCTTATGTGAATGAAACTACATGATTATGCATGTGGAAAGTAGAAAAATGTATATAAAAACATATGTGATGTTTTAGATGGTCAAAATGGCATTTTGACGTGCACTTGTCGTGAGTGCACTCAAAATAAATATCAATACAACACTTATACGTAGTATAGCGTAGTAAGGTTCGTATCCACAGGGAAAGGAATAACTCTTCTTTTTATGTATCTAGTAAATAAAAGGGGGGGTTTTGATCGAGTGATTTGATTAAAATTAAACACGAAGATGAACGAGTTATGTGGTTTAATTCAAAGATAAAAGGGACTTGGCATTGCTACTTTACACTTGTTGATATATTTTAGTCGATCATTGTTATGTCTATAACTTATTTCCTCTCGAATACTCAATCGAGGAGTATATCCAATTCATCGAGGATAGTTATTAACAACGACCGTTCATTAATAACCCTTACTATTAGTCAAGTATAGAACAACGCCATATACCGACTTGATAGTAGCATTTAATCTTTTAACTCCTTGATGAAATCAATTGAGATTGATAACCTCAACACAACGGTTTCGGTTTAACCAACAGAGTTAATCCCTCTTAAGTTTATTAACCACGACCGTGCATTAATAAACCGAAGTTACTTACTTGTGAAATTATCAACGATTAACCATCGGTTCGTTGATCGTTTCTAGTAATAATTAATATATGAAACAAAACTAATTGATCCTTTAAGTAATGTTCAAAATATTAATATGAAATATGAATAGGAATTAACTAATATTCAAGGAAGAATATTAAAGGGAATGAATCCTACTATAGTTAAATATCAAGATGTTAACTAATTGTCATCTTAGCAACACTCTCCGATATTAACATAGAGGAAGGAATAGCTATTACTAAGACCAATGTCAAGATGTTAACTAATTGTCATCTTAGTAACACTCCCCAACATTGATATAGAAATAGTATTTAAAGGAAGAATTAATATTCAAGGAAAGAAGTTAAGAAAATAACTCACAACTTTAATAATCAACAAGCTTCAAGAGCAATACCAAGAAATGGGAGTTTAGCTCCTCATTTGGAGACTAAACATGCTAAAAGAAATATAGAGAAATTCTATTCTAAATTGAGCTTAAGAGTATAAAGGAATTGGTTTCCCTCTTGTGGAGGAAATGGGGTGTATTTATAGGCTTTTTAGGCCTGCAGGGTCGTGTACCCGATCGGGTTTTCAGCTCAACCGATCGGGTAAGGGTTAGTTTCCTCGAAACTGAAAATCTGGGGTCATACCCGATCGGGTATGTCGGCTACCCGATCGGGTATGGATACGCGATCGAGTTAAAAATCTTCCTGCATGTTGCCTTGTTCCCGGGTTGATTCGATTTGACTTTTCAGCCACTTACCCGATCGGGTATAGAGCATACTCGACCGGGTACACTACCAAAAATCAGAATCTTCATCTTTTCTTGAAATCTTTGCACCTTCCTTCCATTTGTGATGTTTACCAATGGTCCCTAGAGTGGTCTTGGACCTGTTTGAGCTCAGAACCAACCTAATCTAAATAATTTACAAACATTTTACAAACTAAACAATTACACCAAAAGTGTGTAATTTCTAGAGTAACAATCACTCAAAACTAATCAAAAACACAAATATAAACATGGAAATAACATGAATGTCAACTCCCCCACACTTAGTTCCTTTACTCGACCTCGAGTAAAACCAAATGTTTACATAATGTTTGTCAAAAGATCATGAGTTCAAAATTTGGAAGAAATAAGGAACTAAAACCACCAAGTATTGTAAATGAGTTTACAAAATAACATCTCTTTGGGTTTAATGGTCTTCTATGCCCCTTACTTCTTTTTCTCTTCTTCTTCTTTTATTCTTCTTCTGCCTCTCCAAGAGATAGTGTCCTGCAAAAACAAATTTTTCTCTCATATCTCTCATTTTGCCTAGGAGCCTTTTCAGGTTTTCATCCTAGCATCTCTTTGCTTTTTCTTTCCTTACCCCTCACTCATCATTTTTGTAAGCCCTTGTTGCTTAGATTGCCCTTTTAGGTTTTCAACCTAACTAGCATTTCATGTCTTTTATTACATTTTTTTTTGTGTACAACTAAAACAAGAAAAGTAATGTGTAGTACAAGGTAAAAACAAAGGAGTGTACATACCAAAAGATGATCTTCCTCCCCCACACTTGAATCATGGCACTATCCTTAGTGCCCGCCTTCTCCACCATAGTAGCTTCCGCCAAAGCCGCTCCCATGCATGTCATCACCTCCTCCCTCGCCCATGGTAGTGTCCCCGCCATCATAACCACCCATGCCGGAACTAGAGCCGCCAAAATTACCCCAATCGGAGGGGTTATACCAAGAAGGTGTCGGTGGTGGTGAGGCCATAGATGCAAACCCGCCAAGTTGGGACATGTAAGAATATGTCGGCCCATACATCCTCCGGTAGTCTTCCTCGTATCGTTGCAAGTCGGCCGCCCGTTGTTCCTCCAACCTTTGAAAAGCCAACCGTTGCTCCTCCCGGTATGCATCAAACCGTCGGTCTCTTTCTTGTTGCTCGTTCCGGTAGAGGCCTATCTCCCCTTGAAGTTGGGTGAATTGCTCTCCCATTTTTGTGTAATCAAGGCTCATTGTTTGGAAACCGGTTAAGAGGGATTGTTGACCCGCCAAGAGTTGTTGGAAGAAGTCTTGTGGTGGCGGGTTTTGGGGGAGGTCGGGGATATCATGTTGGACATGTTCATATCCCTCTTGGTGCTCGGGTTGCTCCGGTTGGGGATTGGGTTGTTCGGCTTGGTCGGCTTGAGCTTGGAGATGAGGTGGAATGTTGTTGGGGAGGAGGTAATGTGGAATGTGAGCGGGTTCCATCTTGTACCTAAGTCTAGGTAATTCATCGCATGGGAGGGGGAAATATTTGACCGGTTCGGGGTACTTCATGTGCCATCTATATCGTTGGTTTCCGTTGTGGTCTTTGTTGCCCAAAGAGATCAATTGTGCATTGGACAACCATCCAAGATGCATCAATGAATCTTTAGAGATTGTGGCATTATCCACATAGCCAAACTTGGAAACCAAATGCATGATAACACCCCCTATAACAATGTTCCCCCCTTTGGTGATAGCCTTTTGTAGATGATCCCAAATCAAGTTGCAAATGTTAAACTCAACGGGATTGCGGAAAAGAGCAAGAGTGAGAATGGCTACATCCCCTATCCGAGTGTGATGGTTGTTGGGGCGGCCAAGTAAAGAGTTGCACAAAAATTTGAGGAAAATCCGGAGAAGGGGATGTTGCACGTGACTTATGTAAAGTTGGGACGTGCTAAAATTCCGTTCTCCGGTCATTTTGCCCCAAAGATTATATGCATCCATAGTGTTATCCGGAATTTCCCTTTCATGTGGGAATCGGAGCCCAAAGTGTTCGGCAAAATCACGTCTCGTTATAGTGTAGTCGGTGTTCATCAACCGAAACGAGAGTGTATCATCATAGAAATGGTCATCATCTAACACAAACTTGGCCGAACTCAAAAATTCATAGATGACCCTTTCATTACAATTATATTGCACATTAAAAAGCAATCCCATGTGCAATTCATCAAACAATTCTCTCATGCCATCCAACAAACCTAGTGAATTAAGAGCTTCATGGCATAAAAAGCGAGAAGGAATGACTTGCCTTTTTAGAATGGCCACAAATCGCTTCCGATGATCCCCCGGGCCAAATTGCACATCCTCATAGCCTCGGATAGGTCCCCTTGAGCTATAGCTCTCCGGTTGGTTCCTCTTTGGTGCCATTTTTGAGAAATTAGGGGGCTTGAGTTCGGACTTGGGGTCTAAGGGTAGGGTTTTCGGATTTTTGGAAATGGAGAGAGAGAGAGAGGGAATAATGGGTATGAGGTTGTAGAGGAGAGTGTAGGGATTGATTTGGTGGTGGTTTGGGTGGATTTGGTTGAGATATGAGAGAGTAATTGAAGCTTGAAGGTGTGAAAATGGAGGATTTGGGAGAAGGGGTTCGAATTTTGGGGTTTTGGGGAAGAAGAATGGTTGGATTTGGCCTTTGATTCGTGTTTAAACTTCGTGTACCCGATCGGGTACCCCGATTACTCGATCGGGTATGCCTTCTTTTGTTCTTGTTCCGGGATCGGGCTCGATCGAGTATACCCCGTACTCGATCGAGTTTTGGCCGCCGTAGGTTTTTCTGGAAATATACTCGATCGAGTATATTAATTTACTCGATCGGGTATACCCCTTTTTAAAAAAAACTTGGTTCCAGGTTTGTGTATTCGGTCGAGTATGGGGTATACTCGATCGAATTTTGGCCGCCGTAGGATTTTCTTGAAATATACTCGATCGAGTATATTAATTTACTCGATCGGGTATTTGGCGGATTTTTAAATTTGGCTCCAGGGGTCGATTACCCGATCGAGTATGAGGTATACCCGATCGGGTATTCGTGCAATTCTGTGCTTTTGGCCGATCGAGTATGGGGTACTCGATCCCCCTTCTTTCATTTTTTTGCTCTATACCCGACCGCGTATGACTGTTACTCGATCGGGTATATTAGCCTGGAATTTTGTTTGGTCCATTTTAATCCTCTTTTTGGCATGGATCCGACCGGGTAACTGGTGATGATTCGATCGGGGTTTTCCCAGGCCTTGAAAATATTATTTTTCCCTTATTTTCTTTTTGAGAATTTCCTCCCATTCTCCCCAAAAGTTGACATTCGAAAACAAAAAATTGAAAAGAAAAACATACCTTGCATGGGTTGCCTCCCAAGAAGCGCTTTATTTAACGTCGTGGCTCGACGATATCTTCGTTATTCACTCATAGACCGGTTCAGAAAGGTCCATGACTTCTACATTTTTGGGTTGAAAACCCTCAAAGAAGGGTTTTAATCTTTGTCCATTCACCTTGAGTACCTCTCCCGTCTCCATGTCTTCAATTTCCACCGCCCCGTGTGGATATATTTTGACCACTTTGTATGGTCCCGTCCAACGAGATCTCAGCTTTCCTGGAAATAGACGAAGGCGTGATTGAAAAAGGAGGACTTTGTCATGAAGTTTAAAGTCCTTCCTTATGATCATCTTATCATGCCAAGCCTTCGTCTTTCTTTTGTAGATCTCCGCGTTGTCATAAGAATCCAAACGGAGTTCTTCCAATTCTTGCAATTGGAGTTTCCTATGCAAACCGGCCTCGTCAAGATTGAGGTTGAATTCTTTTACCGCCCAATACGACTTGTGTTCGAGTTCTACGGGAAGATGACAAGCTTTCCCAAACACAAGTCTATAAGGGGACATACCGATTGGAGTTTTGTAGGCGGTTCGGTATGCCCATAGTGCATCATCAATGCGTATACTCCAATCCTTCCGATTTGGGTTCACTGTTTTCTGGAGTATAGACTTCAACTCCCTATTTGAGGTTTCCGCTTGGCCATTGGTTTGAGGGTGGTAAGCAGTGGAGATCTTGTGAGTCACACCATATTTTTTTAGTAGGGATCCCACAATTTTATTACAAAAATGTGTGCCTCGATCGCTTATTAAAATTCGAGGAATCCCAAACCTAGAAAATATGTGTGATTTTAGGAAGCTAGCCACCACCTTGGCATCATCAGTTTTGGTGGCTTTAGCTTCCACCCATTTAGAGACGTAATCCACCGCAAGGAGAATGTAGATGTTACCTTGAGAGTTCGGGAAAGGTCCCATGAAGTCAATACCCCATGCATCGAAAATTTCACAGAAAAGCATGGGGTTTTGTGGCATCTCATTTCTCCTTGAAATGTTGCCCGCTCTTTGACAATTGTCACAAGATTGACAAAAGCCATGTGCATCCCGGAAAAGACTTGGCCACCAAAAGCCACTTTCAAGTATACCGACTTGATAGTAGCATTTAATCTTTTAACTCCTTGATGAAATCAATTGAGATTGATAACCTCAACACAACGGTTTCGGTTTAACCAACAGAGTTAATCCCTCTTAAGTTTATTAACCACGACCGTGCATTAATAAACTGAAGTTACTTACTTGTGAAATTATCAACGATTAACCATCAGTTCGTTGATCGTTTCTAGTAATAATTAATATATGAAACAAAACTAATTGATCCTTTAAGTAATGTTCAAAATATTAATATGAAATATGAATAGGAATTAACTAATATTCAAGGAAGAATATTAAAGGGAATGAATCCTACTATAGTTAAATATCAAGATGTTAACTAATTGTCATCTTAGCAACACTCTCCGATATTAACATAGAGGAAGGAATAGCTATTACTAAGACCAATGTCAAGATGTTAACTAATTGTCATCTTAGTAACACTCCCCAACATTGATATAGAAATAGTATTTAAAGGAAGAATTAATATTCAAGGAAAGAAGTTAAGAAAATAACTCACAACTTTAATAATCAACAAGCTTCAAGAGCAATACCAAGAAATGGGAGTTTAGCTCCTCATTTGGAGACTAAACATGCTAAAAGAAATATAGAGAAATTCTATTCTAAACTGAGCTTAAGAGTATAAAGGAATTGGTTTCCCTCTTGTGGAGGAAATGGGGTGTATTTATAGGCTTTTTAGGCCTGTAGGGTCGTGTACCCGATCGGGTTTTCAGCTCAACCGATCGGGTAAGGGTTAGTTTCCTCGAAACTGAAAATCTGGGGTCATACCCGATCGGGTATGTCGGCTACCCGATCGGGTATGGATACGCGATCGAGTTAAAAATCTTCCTGCATGTTGCCTTGTTCCCGGGTTGATTCGATTTGACTTTTCAGCCACTTACCCGATCGGGTATAGAGCATACTCGACCGGGTACACTACCAAAAATCAGAATCTTCATCTTTTCTTGAAATCTTTGCACCTTCCTTCCATTTGTGATGTTTACCAATGGTCCCTAGAGTGGTCTTGGACCTGTTTGAGCTCAGAACCAACCTAATCTAAATAATTTACAAACATTTTACAAACTAAACAATTACACCAAAAGTGTGTAATTTCTAGAGTAACAATCACTCAAAACTAATCAAAAACACAAATATAAACATGGAAATAACATGAATGTCACATTTATTAATTGTTTTAGACATGATATAGGTTATATAAAAATTTTGGATCAAACGGATTACGTTTTGGGGGTCAACTCGGGGGTCAACGAGCCGTTGACCCAAAACTCCGAACATACCCGGCGCCGGGTATAGGGCATACCCGGGGCCGGGTAAGCTGCTGCCTCCATATTACGTTTTCGCCGAAAACGCAAACTGGAGCCCGGTTCGAAAGGGGGTTGACCCCGTACAACCTATGTGTGTATACTGTGCATGGAATTGCATGAAATATGATATTTAAATGTCAAGGTTGATATTTATTGATTTGATTCTAAGACTTGGTTTAGTCTTTAGTAATGATATGATATAGACCTTATCTAGTGTGATATGTGATAAGTCATAGGTCGGGTGGAGTACCCAGGGATCGGGCGTGTATCCTCAAAACTCGGTTATAGGGTGGAGTACCCAAGGATCGGGCGGTTATCCTCAAAACTCGGTTATAGGGTGGAGTACCCAAGGATCGGGCGGTTATCCTCAAAACTCGGTTATAGGGTGGAGTACCCAAGGATCGGGCGGTTATCCTCAAAACTCAGTTATAGGGTGGAGTACCCAAGGATCAGGCGTGTATCCTCAAAACTCATAGATTACATTTTAATGATTGACCGGGCTGAACTTGCAAGTGTACAAGTGCCGATGTAGTAATAAATTCCGGTAAAATACCGGGTTGAATCCACAGGGAAACGTTGTTTAATTTAGTCCGCGAGTAGATGACTTTGAATAAGTAAATGAGTAAAGTGCATGGATTTTGAGTTGTGTGTTGTTGTGAAAACAACAACTTGGTTCTTCTTTTTAATTTTCAGAGATATAACTTGAATTAATTTGATTAAAGTGATTGATAACAACAACTAAGGCTTCGGGAATCACTTAAATGCTCTAATAGGGTTGAATATTAGTTCTTTACCAATAATTATGAATACGATGTCGCTAATATATTCTCAACTCCGGTTAAGGCAGCGAGAGCGTGGTTTTCGTTACGTGTAAGTCCCGTTACGGCTTACATTCATCTACCGAAAACCCCGTTGAATATCAAGACATCACACCTGTATCATATAATACCGGATATATTTCTATTCTCAGTAATATATATGTTTATCCTTTAATGTTCATAGTTTAGACCTCAACGTTAATTGCAAGCATAAACTAAGTTTAACATACTTCTATGTTGTACCCCATAGTCATAAACAATCAAAATGTAAAGGATAAATCACAATTTATTGGTTGAGAACTTTTATCAAACACCTAGTGGGCATATAAGTTCATCCCTAGCCTTAGCTAAGAACTTAGCCTCTAATGCTCATATTAATTACAAAAGTGTAACTAAGATAAAGGAAATACAATAACATACAAGAAATAATACCTAGAACCAATTGTACAGGAGAGAAATGGCTTCTTCTCCAACACTTCAAGAGAGTGCAAAAATAAAATATAAAAACTGAAATTTAAGCTTCAAGAATGGAATGATGATCTTGTTTGATGAATTGGGGGCTTTATATAGGCTAAAGATTGACATCTTTTAGTCTATTCGAGCCCAACAATCAAGCATGGAAGATATATTTGATTAGCTCATGACGAAGGTGAGTTTTTTCCATCAAAATATTTCAGCACGTTCTTTTGTATTTGCAGGATCAGACCTACCCGGCGCCGGGTTCAGGCCTACCCGGCGCCGGTTCTTCATTGTGCGCAGGGAAATCTGAAATTTTGGCCTACCCGGCGCCGGGTATAAGGCCTACCCGGCGCCGGGTAAGCTACTGGTTTGTGTACATGTGAAAATCAACAAACGGGCGCCGGTTTGGTGCAAATTCCGGTGTCGGTTTTGTCCTGGGATTTTGGGGATGTTCCGCTACGAATTTGGACATGATTCCTTCACCAAAGTTGTAGATAATGAAGTCTTCTATCCAACAAAACTTGAATGACATGATTTTATTCAGCCAATCAAGAGATATGGATAAAACACTGAGAGGTATGCATCCTGAAATCCCACCAGCAACATCTGACTTTGTTGGTTGATTGAGTCTTGTTCCTTTCATATTTTGGTCATGGCGTCTTCATAACATTTGTACCTTATTGAGTTAGCATTCACATGAAACTCGAATCGAGTGATTTCGAGTTCTATAGAATACGTTATACTCAAATTATGGGCAGAACGTCATTCTCTTGGTCCAAAAAGTCGTTCATCGCAATGTTTTATGATCAAGCTCTCATTCTGGAGGTATTTGCCCGATTTCTCTTCTTTTCTTCAACAAATACTTATAAATACTTATGTTAAACACAAGTAAATATAACGGCTATCAATGATCTAAGACCGGGTGGTGTCCTTATGATAATCGATTGAACCAGGAGGAGTTCTATACACTTATAGGTATATGAGTGGGATGGGTTCTTGGTCAAGGATATTGACTACTACTGTTTCCCAAATAAACGATGACCTACGGGTTGGGTATTTTTCAAGTGTATAAATATATTGATATGTATTTCATAACTTGGGGGGAAAGGACTACATGTATATGTATCACCCTATGTTTGGGTGTTATACTTGAAACGTTAGTTATTCTACATTTAGCCTGCTACTCGCTCGGTACTTGTACTGACCCCTTTGGGGGGGGCCACCATTTCAGGTTGAAGCTCAAGTTTGCTATTCTCACCTTGCTCGCTGAAGTGATCCAAAGGGAGACGTGGTTCGTGCTTCCTTTATTGTTTTGAACTATAAACTATGCTCATGGATACTTTGTAACAAATACATTTGTTTTGGGCCTGCGTGCCTACGTGTTGGCCATGTGTAGCCCATGATTGAATATTGAATAATTCCGCTATTCGTTCAATCTAAATATGTGATGTTGTTATGTATGTTTACTTACTGAGAATGGTATGGACTATGTTCATAGACGCCTTGTGTGACTAAGTCACGTTGACTCGCGGGTGACGTCGTTTAGTCATACGGCGGTTGTACACGCGCTCAGATGCGGTCTGGGGCGGACACTTCGACTTCGTTGTGCCCCGGTTCTCTATACTCAACGCCGATCCCGAAGTCAAACATGATTCCTTCTTGCGAATTTCTTCGCTCACCACCAAATTTCTGACTTCATCGAA